GAACCAAGACGCAACTCAAATTTGAGTAAGCAAGAAAGAAAAATGTGTAAGCAAGTGACAGATAAAACATGCGTGAGTAATATAAACATTGTTTTTATTTTTGTTTTTTAAATGTTTTAATTTTTGTCTTTTTTAAGGTTTAACAGACCTTCAGATGTAAAGTTTACATAAACTTTTGTCACCAAAAAAAAAATCACCTTTTGTTTATACTTAAAGATAATGCTTCTTTTGTCATTTAGGAATGTACATGCTTACATATCTGTGATTGGTTTAAGGTAATCATGTGACTAACTCTGGGGTCTGAGGGTGTTTTGGAGCCCTTCAGAAGTTTTCTCTTGCCCTTACATTTGTGCTTTTTTCAGTTGTTTATAAACAAATTAATGGCTAAAGTCTCATTTCACTGTGTTGAGCACAAATAATATGCAATCAACATGTATGTACGTGCTTGCATTTTTGAGAAAATTATGTTTATGCATTGTTAATAAAAATATATTTTTAAGGTCACTTAAATAAGGTCAGAAAACTCATGCTAAACATATATTCACAAGACTTTTGAGTATTGGATGTTGTAGACTAGAAAGTTTGCTACAAAAAGATGTGAAAACCATTCTGCTCACTTATTCACATAAAACAATATAGTGATTTAACTTTTGTAAGACACTTTTTGTTGTGAAAAAGGCCAGCGAGGGAGTGTCAATGGCCACAAATATTGATGTGCTTCACACCTGGGCATATAAAGATCCAACCCCCTAATGGGCCTATCAAGGTGGAGATGAGAAAGAATGTTAGGAGATTTTAAAAAACAGATGTTTTATTTGCAGTTTATTTACAAAGTAAATATTGCACACTATAATCAAAATATATATAATGAGTGTCAGAGGCTTTTTTTGAGCATGTTGTTGCACATCCTTTTGTCATTTTTGGAAACAGTTTATCTACAACTGATGAACATCACATGTCTGGCATGTGTCCTATCTTTCACCATGCAACAGAACCAGTAATGCAGCCACATTCCTAAGAAAAAGTAAATGATTGTTAGCATATATTGTGCAGAGTACAACCCATAGGCAAATATTAAAAATACTAACATATAGCCTACTTAAAATAAATACTCACCACAACCACCATACAACAATGGTATTTGTAGTAAAACTGTGCTCAGTCTGCCCCAAAACCATGGTCATTGCACGTTTAATATAGTAAAACCATGATAAATTTTCCTAAGGAAAGAAAGAAACAATATACTCACTCGCCAGAAACGATGTGCTCCCCAGTCGCTCTTCACAATGTTCATTTTCAGGATCACGATCTTTATTTCAAAGTGAAAGGTTGTATAGGAAAGGTTGTTTTTCTCTGTATAGGACCGTCTGCTGATCGACCGCACATGTGCAGCGTGTTATGATCCAAAAGCGCAGACAAATCAATAAACTTGACAATGAATGCTTTGTTGTCCCATTGTTTGGGGGCGTTGACCATGTCCGCATGGCTCGCGTAGATTATTACCATATGAATAGCGCTCTGCGCGAGGGCGTGATCATTAGAGATAATGAGCTGAGACAGGAGAAACCTGTACCTGTCTTTACTTTCATGCTTATTACAAAAATAAACTGAACAAAATTACAATGTTCTCAGTTCGTCGATGCGTCCACGTTAAGCTGTTTCCTTATAATGGACTCCAATGGGGGAGAATGCTTAACGTGATATTAATCACTTTATACGCTGAATAAGAGCTCATTCTTTTGACAGCAGTTTACAATAAGTAAAATTTGACACAAGTTTGTTTCTCCCCGGTCGTTGTTAAGGTACGTTAAACCACGTTAAAGGGTTAGTTCACCCAAAAATGAAAATTAGGCTGTGTTTTACTCAGCTAAGAGCCATCCTAGGTGTATATGACTTTCTTCTTTCAGACGAATCCAGTCGGAGTTATATTAAAAATTGTCTTTGATCTTTCAAGCTGTTTAATGCCACTCAGCGGGTGTTGCATGCATCAGTCCAAAAAGAAGTTAAATAAAAATCGCCCATCCATTAAAAAAAGCGTCTCACACGGCTCCGGGGGGTGAACAAAGGCCTTCTGTAGCGAATCGGTGTGTTTTTGTAAGAAAAATATCCATATTCAAAACGTAATAATCACTTTAATCTAGCTTGCGCCAGCAGTTGTACACAGAAGCAGTTCCGGGCAGATGACGTATGAGTTCAGCGTTGCGCATGCGCCGATGAGTCTCGTGAAAACCAACGTTTGTTTACAGGATCAAAGGAAGCAAAGTTTCCTTACTTTAGCAAAGGAAAACCAGTCTCCTCTTGGCTTATATCGAAATCCTCCGACATTCTTCTTTACAAATCCTCGTTTTGTACTTCTAATT